GCAATTGTGCGACCAAATGGGAACCGACTTCCGTGTCTTCCTAGAAATCACTTTCTTTTTTAGAGTGTGCGCAGTCTTTGAGACTGCCTCTCTGCAACTTTTCTCTCAACACTGTTGAGAATATATACGTCAGACGTATACATTCCATCAACATACTGATCATCGTCCTGCGCTTAATCGGACAAAAGACAAATTCATTGTTACAATTCCTCTTCTTTCTTACTGAAAGGCAGTCTCGAAGACTGCGAGCGTACTCTCTAAAAAAAAGGTATTCTAAAATACGAAAAAGGTATAACCATTTGAACCATATCATAGCTGTTTTACTTTTATCAGAAAACCCTTCTAGAATTTTTAGAATACGAAAAACCCGTGATTTAAAAAATCCTGAATTGCTTTGGTATTTTAAAATACCTGAAAGTTTTTTTTATGACATGAAGAAACCTCAACCATTTTTCAGAACATAATTTAGCCGTATTTTAGAAAATGAAAATTAGTTTTTTGATAAGAATAAGAAACTTTTAAACAGTTATGATATGGTTCAAATGGTTATACCTTTTAAACGTTTTTCACGAATGGTTATTCCTTTTTTAGGTTTTTATGAAACATCTTTCGTTTTAGAGCGTAGTACGAGCCAGTTCAAGTTTACAAGGCCTGAACTTTTTTGTAACGAAAACCTGGTTGTAAAACAAAACTTTATTTGAATGTGATCTGGTACTATATTACTCAATGTTGATCCAGATCATGCTTTATGTCAGATAGTTTCTGTAAGCGGAGAGACGTAAGTTTTTCAAAGAATCGATTCCGCAGCATGAACAGTTTTCAGAGGGAATTATAAACTCAGATTTCCATTGTCTACTTTGGATGAAGTCCTTTGATAGAGCTGTTTCAGGATTCTAGGTCCAGCGCTATGAAAATTTTTTTTGAAAATTTTTTCCTACACAGTAAAAAAAAGCGTATTCGCGAAAGCTTAAAAATGATTTCGAAAATATTACTATATGGAACCCTGTGGGATTTTCGAGAATTCTTTTCTAGACGGTTTTCTAAGCATCAAAAACGCTTTTCCTATTCGAATATCCTTTTCTATTCAGGGTAATTTTGTCGTATATACACTTCAAACGGTTTCATATAGCAACATTTTCGAAAACCAGTGAGTTCTGATATCCCTTCAAAAATCTCTCTTATCTGGTTCGTAAGCTTGTTCTCAGAAATCTGTTGAAGTTCAGTTTTCGAAAAGAAACTATACTTAACGTTTTCTTCTTATAACGTATGATTATTTTTGGACACGTGCCGGAGTTTTAATCGATTAACTCCCAGGTCGAAGCGTTCGATCATCGGATCTTGTCGAATTGGATCGGATCCAGCGCCCGATTATGCCGGAATTAGTCAGATTTCAACTCGATCTAACCGGATTCTGGCGGATTGGGCCGGAATCCGGCTTCCGGATGCAGCCGAAACCGGTAGGATCCGAAGACCGAAAACAGGCAAATTTTCCGGTCCGGAATCCGGGCACCAGGATTTTGTCGGATTGCAACGGACCTAGCCGGATCCGACCAGGCGAATTCGACCTGGGCTGAAACGGACCATGATCGATATAACCGCGAAAACTATTTCTATTTGCACACAATATTGAAGATACTTTTGAAACCGTATAAAGGAAACATCTAAAATGTTGATCCGACAGAAAAAATGTTTAGAATTGTACGCTGCACATTCTCAGATTAGCTGTTTCCTTCATCAGCGGCGGTGCAAACAGCGAGGCAATAAGGGGCACTGCGTGAAAATGGCTCAAATCAAATCTTCTTTTCCGTCGAACATTGAAAAAATATTATTGCCTCCCAAAGTTTTTGGACTTGCCGTCCACCGTCCTTCATACTGTTTCAAACGTATTTTCAAGAATGTGTGCAAATAAAAATACTTTTCGCAGTTATGTCGATTATGGTCAGTTCCGGTTAACCGATTAAAATTCGACGCGTGTCCAAAAGTCATCATGCGTTATGGGAAGAAAAGGTTACGTAGCATTTCTTTTTGGAAAGCGAACTTGACCAAGTTTCCTAGAACGAGTTTACCAACAGAATAAGTAGGTATGCACCAGTTAAAAACTGGTATTGGCGCATCCGGGAGAGTTGCTATACATCAGTTATCGCGATTCGCTCAGAGTTGTAAAACATCTTATTATGTAGAAAAATGTTTGCTCTACAAATGCGTTTGCTAAAAAATTTCAAAATCATTTCTAAGAAAACTTAGAGTAGAGAAAGTACAAAATGCACAGAACATGATTAATACTTTAATCAAATTTATTTTATTGTGATATTTCGACAGGTTCTCTTGTCATCATCAGACAATAAAGATTGTTACAAAGTGTCAAAAGAAAGAAAGAAGTATATATATAGTAGTATAAATTAAAAGTCTTTGGCTAAAACAATGTTCTTCGAACAAAAAAGAAGCTTCTTTTTATCTTTTCTGTTAAATTGTAGAATAACGTAGAAAATTCCTGTTTTTACGTTTACTACTATATATATACTTCTTTCTTTCTTTTGACGCTTTGTAACAATCTTTATTGTCTGATGATGGCAAGAGAACTTGTCGAAATATCACAATAAAATAAATTTGATTAAAGTATTAATCATGTTCTGTGCAGTTTTGTACTTTCTCTACAATTTAATTCGATTTTCAACTGCTCTCTCTCCAAGTTTTATTAAAACTTAGAGTATTCTAAAATCTAGTGAATCACAGGAAAAAAAGTGTTTTTGACCACCAGGTATTTACCAGTTTTTTAACTAACATTGCGGTATCCAGGAAAATTGCCATGCATCGGTTACCAAGATTCGCTCATAGCTGCGGAACATCTCATTTTGTAGAAAAATTGGCTTTTAAGACTACGAAGAGTCACCGGTGCCAGTTCTGAGACTCGTAGGAAATCCGGTACAATGCCAGAGCCGTAGAAAATCTAGATCTCGCTTGACTCCCATTTTCACGAGCACATCCCGAACTATCAGTCCCATGAAAAAGATCAACATTATCCTACTGGAGAATTTTTACACACGATCTGGTTTTCCAAAGATCTCCTAAACAGCCTGTTTCAGAAAACTCTTGTGAAAACAATTCTGCTTGTGGAAACATGTCTCCAAGTCTTCTCTTTTGCGTGGTGAAAACCGAAGCTCTCTAGCTGCTTTCTATCAAAAGTTATTCAAAAAATAGTCACTGCTCTTGTATTTTGAGACGGATAGTAGTACTTGTAACAGAATATCATGATATATAACGACCATAATAATCATCGGTATTATTATTCGATCTGTCTTTTAATGTTATCTTCTTGAATCATATCATAACATTGCTGTATATTATATGGAAATAATTTAATTATATTCCTATAAGTTTCACTTTCTTAATAATCTATTGATGATGGACACTACATATTATTATCTTCTGTTATTATTTGTTGACAATCATAACTATTTGGATGTACGGTTATATGAAATATTCCATTGATTTTCCGATCTTTTCCCACTAAATCGTGTGATTCATTTATTCGTTCCATGGATTCACATGATTTAAACCTCTTTGTAATATCAAGTAATATACCTCCAACATTAGAGATATAGGTGATCCCACAATACATTTATTTTAAATAAAACTGTTTGAACACTTTTAGAATATATTATCAATTCTTATTGGATATTCGATTCTGAATATCTAGAAAGCATAAATAACGGTCATCAACTAAATTTTACGCAATTAGAAGAAACACTGTAGCAATGTTTCTTTAATTATTCCTCTGACTGAACGTTTATGCTCTTACAAAACAATTGTCTATCTGCCTGCATTTTCATCAGTTTTCAAAGAAACAATTTCAGTCAGAGTGAATTACCGGTAGATGTTAACTTGAAATATATGTTGTTAAATTACGTTGTTAATAAATTCAGAAAGACTTTTTACAAAATTGGTGACTTTGCATGTATCAGTCCCATACGTGTGAATCCTGTCAGGGTGGCCTTGCCTGTATCCTGAACTTCTCGCGACTTATCTATCAATAAAAGATTTAACATCACGTTCGTTTAATGTAGCACAAGTAATGAGTAAATGGATCGAAGACGAGTAGCCGTATATCAAACAGAAAAATGTGTTCATCTGAGCACGACTGGTACCATTAAGCAATCTCAAAATCGTACTGTTTTTATACTCATAAATGTTGTGCCCGTGCGTGCTACTTAATGCGTTTGAATAAAGTAAGGGTGGCGTACCATTCCCCGAATTCTTTCAAACCATTAACGTTTTAATCATTGGAGCAAATGTACAGCCTTGTACGACTATTCTAGTTAACTATGTTAGCTATATTTCATAATTTTTTCTAAGAGAGAAACACTCGACTGGACTAGCCAAAGATACTTAAACCTAAAACTTGTGATCTGAGTGAAAGCGTGTTCCATACAATCTTTTTGTCAAGCTTGTACGTCTATTTCACTCCTAATACAGACCTACAATTGCATGTAGTAAGATTTTACAGGCTTCCTTTCCAATTCGTTTAGAAGTTCTTCTCGTATGCAACAGGTGCCAAGACTGTGACACTGGTCGATGTTTCCTTTGGTAGGATGGTGATGAGTTTCTATGGATGAGAACTAAAGATGTGAATGCTGCATTTTTCATCATCTAACGTCTTCACCGTACTTTCATTTTCGAACTTACCACCATATAACGAAAAAGCGAGAAAGAGACAGATGTCACGATAATTATGGTGTATATTCCCATAGAAGATAAAATGGTAGCGATGATATGTGTCATCATAAAAACAAAATGATGATACATATCCAAGATTTGTTCTTCGTCGAAGAGAAGTTTAAAGATGATGAAATATCCAGGTCATAGCAATATCAATTTGTAACTGTCGTAAGTGTGTATGCAATGAAATTCTCCCTTCTCTGCTTTTCTTTAAATCAGATAGAAATTCTTTTGTATCACTGAAGCACATCATGATGCTTCTTCTAATTCTCAAACCGCAAAAGATGTTGCTATTGTCGATACTACTGCTAACGCCTAGCCTTTTCATTGTAAGTATATGTACAGAGTTTAAGTTGGAGTGTTAGTAATACTTTGGTTCAAAATGAATATGTTTAGACTACTGATGCTGCTGATGATGTCGTTGTTTTCAGTAATATCACTTCATCGTCCCCAATGTCGAATTTATCATTGTTATTCTTAACAATGCAAAATAATTTGAATGTATCAATTCAAACACTTTTATCAGCTTTAGAAAATGAAAAATTGAATTTCAAACTGGAAAAACTAACATTTCAACTAGAAAAACAAACATTTCAACACGAAAAAGAAAAATTTGAATCATTGAAGCAACCAATCACATCTGTGATAACAAAAGATGATATCATACATTTTAATATTGCCGGTGAAACAATGGTTACCACCCGTTCAACTCTAACATTTATACCAAATACAACATTATCGTACATGTTCAATGGTGAATGGGATCATCGATTCAAGGGAAATCATACAAGCAACAGTGATGGTGGTTTACTATATTTAAATTATGATCCACTATTATTTAAATATCTGTTAGGGCAATTGAGAAGGTGGACAAATCGTAATAGAGCCGGTGAATTTCTTTATGCACCAACAGCATCTACGGCGAATAATCAGTACGATGACATTGAAGAACAGTATAATGAAATGCTTATGCAACTTGGATTTGAATCATTCGTTCATAATCAACAAGATAGTAAGTATCTCAAGTAAAGTTCAACACGAAATTCAAATTGTTTAAAGAGAACAACTGAAGTCTTATGGATTTTAATTGTTTCTAATCTTTTTTTTGTCAAAAAATGGATTATAGCACCTAATATAGATTTTCACTAGGTTCTTAGATTTTCTTCTAAAAAAAAACGTCAGAACGAGACTCAGTGTCCACGGTAACCTATGTTTCAACCATTTTCGAGGTTACAAAAGGCTTGGAAAACCGATTCTGGAAAGCCTAGGAAACTCGACCCGATACTTAAACGATGGAAAATGAGAAGGTCGCCTAGTGCCCATTTGGAAGGACACTCTAGACTACCTACTCATGGACGAAAATCAATACATTTGTATTACAATGTTTTGGGCTATGACCTGGTTTTCGAAAGACCCCTAGCTACTTTACGGGTCTTGAAAAACGTCCTTTGTTAGCATTTTGAGGGTGTTATCTATGAACAAGATAGTTATTTTTTCGTGAATAAATAGTCGAAAGTTGCCTGAGCGAAGAAGTAAATAGGAGCTGCAACTCCGCTCAAGCACATCCTAGACTAGCTTTAGGCTTTCGGTTATCTTTATTGTGTTTTTTACTCAGGTCGAAATACGCTAAGCTCAGCATCATATGTTTACGATACGAAGGGCAATACCAACAACAAACACTTTATGGAAAATATAAGAGCTTTCGATTGATAACTGGAATCATCATATACATAATAACGTCAACAGCATGCGACTTTGTATATTTCATGTACATTCTGGTGTTTTCTTTTTCTGAACATTCTGAACTTCGAAATACTACAACAATTCATCAGTCGAAAGCTCTTGTACTCTATATAAAATATTTGTTCTTCAGCTTGTACAGATTATTCTGGCTTACTTCAACATTATATGCAGCTGAAAGGATGAAAAGTTTGTCTAGTTTGTTCATATGAGAACTTTCACAAGGACCAAAATCACAACATTGGCAACGCTAGGGGTGGCGCTTTACCGTTTCTTTACAGGTAACGCAGTAACGCATGCGTTATTGCGTTACTGATAGCGTTATTTGCGTTACTTTTCTAGTAATGCAGTAACGCTTGCGTTATACGTTACCAGTAACGCATAATATAGCAACGCTTTAGTCGCATTTTGTCCGGAAGGTGATAAAACAAGACATTTTCGGTTGTTCGTCACTCATACGGTGATATTTGAAAGCGTTGCTTTACTCAGTAAAGTAACGCATCAGTAAAGAAAATGT